GGGTGCTGGGGGGCCGCCACGGCCCGGAGAGAGGTAGGAGCCCCGATGTCCGTTGGGCGCAGGCGTGCGGGGGCGGGAAGGGACGTCCAGTCCAGTCCAGTCCAGTCCAGCCCCCGCTCCCAGCAGGACCAGCCCCAACTAGACCGTCCCAGCCGGCTCTTAAACACCTCCAGGGATGGAGACTCCACTGCCTCGTCCCCAGGATCCCCCGCTCCCCTTGCTGCACCTGGAGCCCCTCGCTCCTTGTCCTGTCGTCTGCCCCCACTGAGCACCGGCCAGCTCCACCCTCCTTGCAGCCCCCCTGCAGGGAGTTGAGGGCTGCTGTCAAATCCCCCCCTTGGGCTTTTCTCCTCTAGACTCAGTAAGCCCAGTTCCCTCCGCCTCTCCTCGCAGGTTGTGCGCCCCAGCCTCCGAGCCGTTTTCATCGGCCCCCGCTGGGCTCTCTCCAGCTTGTCCACATCCTTGCTGGAGTGGGGGGCCACAACTGGACACGGTTTTGGACTGGTGCCAGGGGTGGGGACCCCGCTATAGGAGGAACCCGGCACCTGGGGGTAACCCCACTGCCTGAGGAAGCTGGTGTCCGGGGTGATTCATGACAAAGGCATCATTTCCTGGGGTTCAAGCCCATTCCAGCTGGGGCCAGATGTGGGGCTCATGTCCCCAGGGGAGAGCCTGCCGAATGGCTGGGTTCCCTGGGAGGGGAGAGGAGGGGTTGTGGGGGGGGCTGGATCCTCTGGGAGAGGAGCGGGGACAGGTGGATTAGACCAGGGAGGGGCTGGGAGCTGAGATGCCTGGGTTTTATGGGAGAGGAGTGGTGCACACACATGCACACGTATGTGTGGTTGGGCAGTAGAAGGGGGTTGGGAGCCTGGGTCCTCTCCCAGCACTGGGAGGAGAGTTGGGGCCTGGTCAGCTAGACCAAGGGGTTTGGCAACCTGGACACTTAGGTTCTCTGGAAGAGTCTCAGTGTTGTGGGGGCTGCGGGAGTGTCCATCTGTGCAAGTGAGCATCCCAGATGCTTGGGTTGAGTGTGCATACACGTGCATGTGTGTATGCACTGGCAGGGGTGGGAGTCTGGACCCCTCCCAGACACCTGGGCTTTCTCTTCACTCACAGACGTCTGGATCTACCCTGGTGAGAACGTGGTGGGACGCCTCCCCAGCTGCCCCGTGCACCTGCCGGTGCCCTCCGTGTCCAAGCTGCATGCAGTGATTGAAGCACCAAGGCCTGGGCCTGGATACCCACACCTGCTCTGGGACCGTGGCAGCCTCAATCGCACGCGGCGCGGCCGTGCCGTGCTCCAGCCCCACGTCCGCTACACTCTGGCCCACGGCGACACCCTGCTGTTTGGCGACGTGGGCTGCCAGTACTTCCTGCTGCCCCCCGGGGAATCTGCAGCCTCCCCCCTGCACTGTCTGACCGTGGAGGAGACACCAACCCCATGCAGGCGTAGGTTGGGTGCTGGGGCCCAGTTGGCTCAGGAGTCAGAGGTGAAGAAAAAAAGATGGCGTGGAGGTGAGTGGACAGGTTTTTCTAGGGTCTACAGTAACAAAGTGGATGGTGGTGGGGGTTACTGTAGGCCCTATAAATAACAAGGGAGCTGTGGGGAGGTTTGATAGAGTCCATTATAACATGAGGGATGAGGGGGATTTTAGTAGGGCCTGTAGGAGGAGGGCTGGCGGGGGTGGTGGTGGAGTCCATAACAACAAGGGCTGGGTGGGGGGGTTGGTAGGGCCTATACAAGGAGCTGGGTGCATTCTGGTAGGATCTATAACAACAAGGGGGCTTTGGAGGCTTTGGTAGGGCCTGTAACAACAGGGAGCTCCCTGGTGTGTGTGTGGCGGGGAGGGAGGGAGATGGTTGTAGGCCCTACAATAAGACGACGGCTGTGGGCGGGGCTGAGGCTGGTACTTCTTGAAGGTCCTATCATAACAAAGGGGCTAGGGGTGGCGTTGTGGCAGTGTAATAAGTGGGCCAGTCCAGGGCGTGTAAACATTGGCCCGCTCACTTGTCCTGGGCAGTCCACCCACCTGCCTCCCCTGCCGCACTTTTGATGTCTTTGTTTTTCCCAGGTGGGAGGCTACCCATTTCATTGCCAAGGGCGCATACACAGCTCTGAGTCTTCCCTTGTATCCCATGCCTCGTAGCTGACATCCAAATTCACAAATGCTCCTGGCTCCCTTGCCGAGCCGTACCACCTGGCGTCACCCGGTCTAGAAATCCCTGGGCCTCCACCCTGCAGCCCTCACTCCCTGGGCCCCTGGAGCCTCAACACCCGGCTCCTTAGCGAGCCTCAGGCCTCACTTAGTGGACCTGGGCCGCATCCAGGCCCCCTTCTCATGGCCTGGACCCCACCTCAAGCTCCACACAGTGGGCCGTGGCCCTGCACATTTCTGTTGGGGTGTGCTCCCCTAGCCTTTCCCCTCCACAGGGTCACCCACACGGCAGCAGGGGCTGAGGCTTTCTGGCATCTCATACTCACGCTTCACTGGGGAGGCACAGGTGTGGCAATTCTTGGAAGTTGCCCCACTGCACCATGCTCCTCAGCAGGGCATAGTTTTAAGGTCTAGGAACCTCCTCCATCCCTATAGTCCCTGCTCTGTACCTCCAAGCTGTTCCAGGAACAGAAGCTGGCTGGGTGACATTGCTCCTTCAGCCCCTGCAGCAATTGCTTATATTGCTCTGGGGCCTTGCCTTATACCCAGGCTCTCCACCAATCAGCCAGCCTTCTGTCTGACATGTGACCACCTGCTTGGGCCTGCTCCCACCTGCAGGCTGTTTGCTCAAACCCCTGTGGGTGACAGGCACACCCTGTGTTCCGTCACAGCTAGGCCCTATAATAACATGGGAACCAGGGCTGAGGTTAAGGCTGGTTTGGGGGGCCCTAGTTGGAGCCAGGGACGGGACTGCAGGTTTTTTTGGCCTTATAACGGTGGGGGCAGGGAGCGGATGATGGCTGTGCCCCAGGCTCCAGCCCCACGCTGTCACTGACCTGTCATCCTGGCCCCTGCCCCTCCAGCCACTACCCCATCCCATCTGCCCAGATGTGCCCTGCCCAGGGGAGTTCTGGCCAGTCTCTATGGAGACCCCACCTACCTGCTCCGTCCGGCACCCCTGGTGGTGGATGCAGGACAGATGGGCCAGGGTGCCTGGGCAGCGGGCCCGATCTGGCAGCAGTGGTAAAACTAGCAGTGGCATTTAGAAGAAGCCACCGCCATATGGGCTGCTGGAAAGTGGAGACTGGCTGCCACGCCACCCCCACTTCCACATCACTCTGCGCGTGGGAGGAGCAGAACTGGCTGCACACCCCCTGGCCCCGGCTTCCCCTTGGCTCACGCAGGACCAAGGTACCCACTGGCCCATGGACCATATTTGGCCACCTTTGCCCTATCATTACAATGGAGCTGGGCTGGGCTTGGGGTTTGTGTTAGGTAGATAATGACAGAAGTGTTGCTCCTAGAATTCGTCTTACCAGAGACCCCCAAGGTTTGACACGGCCCCTTGTCCGATTTGGTATCAAGCTAACTTTAATAGCAATCTCTAGGCTTTATCATATGTTTCCTTCCCATAATACAACCTGGCAAGGGTTTTCTTCAGATGTTACAGCAGCAACCTTCAGTGGTACCGGCCTCAGATTCTCTGCTGGGTGTGTGGGATGTTAGTTTCTGGATTCCTTGTTGTTCGAACAAGAATTTCAAGGTTGCTCCTGTCTCCCCAGGGTGGCAATACAAACGCACACTGTCTCTTTGTTTGTCCGCTACTTTTGTAACTTTCTCACTTCAAATTGTCCATTCTCAAGTTTCTTACCTCATCTTTGTAGATAAGGTGCTCCAATCCTGTTCCTTCTTTGGTTTCTTTTCCTTTTTTAGGGAACCTACTGTCTCTGGTTAGCCCACCGTACCAGTCATAGCACTCATTTTTCCCAGTGCCTTATGATGCACTCTGTATAATTTAATTGCTTAGTCCCGGGAAGGCCTAAAGTTATACTAAGAGCGTGTTTGCCTGCTACAAGAGGAGCCAGCCCAGGACTGGGTGGTTTTGTAGGCCCTACAATAACAAAGCAGCCGGGCTTAGGGCTGGGACTTGTTTTAGGTCCTATAATAACAGTGGAGGCGGGGCTGGGGCTTAGACTGGAGTATGTTTGAGGCCCTACAATAACAAAGGAGCTAGGTTTGAGGGTGTGGCCAGAGCTGAGGGTTTGTACTGACCCTATAATAAGGAGGCTGGGGTTGGATTTTTTATAGGCCATACAACAACAATGGAGCCGGGGCTGGAACTGGGGTTTTCTGTAGACCCTATAATAACAAGGGAGCCCAGGGCTGGTGCTGGGCGTTTTTGTCGGCCCTATAATATCAAGAGAGTCGGAGCTGGGGCCAGGGTTTTTGTAGGATCTATAATAGTGCTGGAGCTGGAGCTCGGTCTTTTGGTAGGCCCTACAATAACAAGCAGATCCCAGTAGGAATAGGGGGGCTGGGGCTGATCAGGGTGTTTGAGTGCACAGACCCCACATCCTGCCCCTTCCCCCATCCCGGTATCGGGTTCTCCCCAGCTGACACCTGCCTGCTCCCATCCAGGGTCAGAGGCCTGCACACAGGGCAGCGGCAGCCTAGGATCTCCGCCCCCCAACACTGTGGTGCCTGAGAGGTATGTGTCCAGATGCCTGGGATCTCTGGGAGGGGCCTGGGGGTTGGGGTGGAAACAGGGGTGCTGGGAACCCAGATGGCTGGGTTTTGTCTGCGGGGAGTGGGGGCTGAGTTGTGAGAGCAGGGGGAGCACGAACACCTGGATTCCCTGGGAGGAGAGATGAAGGGTTGTGGGGTGAGCCTAAGGGGCTGGGAGCCTGGACACCTGGGTTTTCTGACCCGCCCTATGCCCCTGACCCTCTAGTGACGAGGAAGCTGAGGATGCCCCCAGCCCTTCCTCCCACCTCTGCTTCAATACCCAAGGAGGGGCAGCGACACCGAGGGGCTGGGCACCTCCCTCTGCCCCAGAGTTGCTGGATGTGGAGCCCCCAAGCCAGGATCCAGATGTGCCGGGATCAAAGACCTGTGGTTGGGAGCTCCTGGCAGGGGACATACACATGGACACAGAGGGGACCAAGGATCCAGATGTTGTAGGTTCCCAGAGCCGTCTGTCTGTGATTGAAGTGGCTGGCAACACAGGTGCGGAAGACAGAGAGGGGAATCCAGATATTGTGGTTTCCCAGGGCCGACGGCCCTCCTCTGAAGCAGACAGCAATCCAGATGTGGAGGATGGGTTTGGGGTTCCAGATGTTGTAGGTCCACCAAGCCATCAGCCTGCCATTGAGGTGTGCAGCGGCACAGCTGTGGAATATGTTAACAGGAAGCCAAGTGTTGAGGTTCCCCAGAGCTGTCAGCCTGCTGTCCAAGCGGCGAGTGACACACGTGTGGAGGTCGAGGGTGGGGTTCCAGATGTTGTAGATTCACAGAACCGTCGGTCCACCAGGGAGGTAAGCAGCAAAACAGCTGCGGAGAATGGGGATGGGAATCCAGATGTTGAGGTTCTCCAGAGTCCTCATCTAACTGTTGAGGTGGGCAGAGACACAGATGTGGAGGATGGTGATGGGATTCCAGATGTTGTGGTTGCCCAGAGCCATTGGCTCCCCATTAAGGTGGGCAGTAACACAGCTGCAGATAATGGTGATGGAAATCCAGAAGTTGAGGATCTCCAGAGCTTTCGGCCAGCTGTTGCTGCAGACAGTGACACAGATGTGGAGGAGGTGGATGGAAATCCAGATGTAGCTGGTACCCAGAGGCATCGACTGGCCCTTGAAGTGGGCAGTGATACTGATGTGGAAGAGGCAGATGGGCATTCAGATGTTGCAGGACCTCAGAGCCATCGGCCCTCCATGAAGCGGGGTAGCCACACAGCTACAGAGAACGTTGGTGGGAATTCAGGTGTTGTGGTTCCCCAGGACTGTCGGCCAGCTGATAAAGTGGGAAGCAGTACAGATGTGGAGGATGGCGATAAGATTCCAGATGTTGTAGGTCCACATAGCCATCAGCCTGCTACTAAGGCATGCAGTGACACACCTGTGGAAAACAGTGATGTGAATCCTGATGTTGAGGCTCTCCAAAGCCATCAGCTGGCCTTTGAAGTGGGCTGTGACACAGATGTGGAGGACAGTGATGGGATTCCTGATGTTGTAGGTTCACAGAGCTGTTGGCCCACTGTGAAGGTGGGCAGCAACAGAGCTGTAAAGAACGGTGATGGGAATCCAGATGTTGTGGCTGCCCAGAGCAGTTGGCCCACTGTTGAGGTGGACAGTGATACAGATGTGGAGGACAATGACAGGATTCCGGATGTGGCAGGGCCCCAGAACCATCGGCCAGCCACTAAGGTGGGCAGCGACACAGCTGTGGAGCGCATTAATGGGAATCCAGACGTTGAGGTTCTCCAGGGCCATCAGCCCACAATTGGGATGGACAGTGATACGGATGTGGAGGATGGGGATGGGATTCCAGATGTTGTAGGTCTCCAGAGCCATCAGCCTGCCACTAAGGTGGGCGGCAACCTAGATGTGGAGAATGTGAATGGGAAGCTAGATGTTGAAGTTCCCCAGGGCCATCAATCCAACATCAGGGTGGACAGTGATACAGATGTGGAAGGTGGGGATGGGATTCCAGATGTTATAGGTTCCCAGCGCCATCAGCCTGCCACTAAGGTGGGTGGCAACCCAGCTGTGGAGAATGATGGGAACCCAGATGTTGAAGTTCTCCAGAGCTGTTGGCCCACTGTTGAGATGGACAGTGATACAGATGTGGAGGATGGTGATGGGCTTCCAGATGTGACAGGTCCCCAGAGCCATCGGCCTGCCTTTAAAGCGGACAGCGACACCGATGTGGAGGTGGATGAGATTCCAGATGTTGTGGGTCCACCCAGGCATCAGCCAGCTGTTGAGGTGGCCAGCAACACAAATGTGGAGAATAGTGATGGGAATCCAGAAGTGGGAGTAGCGGCCAAACCGGCTGCAGCACCTCCCCAGGCTCTCCAGCCCCTCGAACCTGGGGCTCCTGATCCAGATGTGGAGGCCCCCCAGCCCCACTCATCCCCTTGGCCAGCATCTGGGGACAACAGTGAGACTGATGCCAAGGGTGAGTGAGGGGACTGCCTCCTGCCCCCCGTCCCTGCCCGCACCCAGATGCCTGGGCTCTGTCCTCTATCCCCTGGGCAAGGGCCCTCAATGACCCTCCCCTTCCCTCCCGGAGGCCTGGGTTCCACCCCCATCCCTGTGGGGAGGGCCTTGAATGGCTGCCCCTCCACCAGACACCTGGGTTCCAGACCCTCATCCACCCCTGCACACCTGGGTTCCCGGAGTCCAGTACCCACTGCCACCAGCTTTGATGGGTTTGGTGGACGCATGCCGGCAGGGTGCCTTGCAGTGCACGCTGGGATAGCACCACAGCCTCCCTCTCACCCCCTTGCAGATGACCCCGACCTGGCACTGCAGGCCACCCAGTGCTACCTGGACAGCAAGGCTGGAGCCTCTGGTAGGATGCCTGGGTTTCTCTCCGGGTTGGGGTGGTGGAGGGGGGCTGAGAGTCCGGATGCCTGGGTTAGCTGGGAGGGGAGTGGGGACTGGTGGGTATAAGCAGGGGAGTTGGGAGCCCAGACACCTGGGTGTCTCACTCTCCATGTGGGTATCCCAGCTGCCACCCATGTCCCACATTGTGGTGAGGGTGGAGGGGTGCAAAATGGGGGATTGTGGTTAGTTCCCCTCCCCAGCAGTCCCCAGCCTGGAGGAAGAGGCCACCCAGAAGTTCTCCCAGGAGCGGGCTGGGAGCCCGGACATCTGGGTTCTCTGTCTGGGTCCTGGGCACCTGGGACGGGGCAGCGCTGGACACAGCTTCTGTGTAGGGGGAGCTGGGTTTTCCATGGGCACATACCTGGGTACCCTGAACTGCTGGCTTCTGTGTTTCTGCCCATCTGCCCTGAGTGCCTGGGCTCTGGATGCCTCACCTGGAAAGGGACAGAAGCATTGGGTAAAGCAGAGTTCAGGTCAGAGCCACCCTTGAGGGAGGGGGAGACAAGCTGGGGAGGAACCCAGGTGTCCCGGCTCCCAGCTTTCCCCAGCCCCCACCCCCTGCCCAGAGATCCCAGGCATCCCTGTGGGCTCTTACCCTGCACCCCATCTAGCCCCTTAGCTCCCTCTTCCCCTGCTAAGGACCCCAGAGTCCATGCTCCCAACCCCCCGGCTCTTACCTCCCCCCCCCCCCTTCCCCGAGAGCCCCGGCTCTTGGGCCTGCCCACTATGAATTTCCATCAAAAGAGAGTTTGCTCATTGGTTTCTTTTTTAACACATATATTACCAAAAAGCCTTCATATAAACCCTGGAAAGGTGCTATTTACATTACCACTCAAAACTAGAGTGAATTGCATTGATGCAAAACACATTGAACTAAATTGGGGAATCAACACTAGTAACTGGCTGAGGTGGGAGCAAAGCCCTGACATAGGTTCATGAGCTGCTTTCTATATCTAATGGTGCAATTATTTTCTCCAAGGGAATTTACTTCCATTTTCTCATGGCTTTCATTTAAATAGGTTGTCTTATTCCAACCCTTCTAAAATGTATGCAAGCTGTTGTGCCTTGGCAGAAAAAGCATGCTCCTCTTGTGTGTTTTTTGTTTGAATGCATAAACATGCAGTTATCTTAGCATGTCCTATTATATTGATTCATTTCTCTGAAGCTTGGTAAGTGGCCCTGGAAAGTCATCTCTCTGGCAACATAAATATTCACACAAACAAAAGCAAGATATTAAACAGTATACACATCTGACACATGTGCATGAGAAAGAGGAGCTTCCGTATTGTAGAGCGAAGCAGTTTGGGGGAAGGGGAGATCTTCAAAAGG